TTTCACATGTCAGCCTGTAATCGTGTCAGTAGCTATCTCAGGTCCCATGGGGTTGTGGCTGTCATCGTCCCCGGTGGTGGCAACGGCAGTGGCAATTTGTTTGGCCAGCGTGGGATACGAAAAAGGGGGTGGGGATGATGTCAACAAAAGCACTGAATTTGACAATTAGTCTAAAGTGGCGTGCGTTGATTGGTTGACTCATGAAGCCGGTTGTGTTAACACGCTTACCGCGGTTGTTTACTGGGTGTCACAGGCGGCAAAAGCATGCATTTAGTCACGAGCGATTTGACCGCTGTTCTGACTGCTTTCGACGAGAAAGGACGTGCGTAAAGTGCCACTTCAGCGAATAATTTTGATTGGGAAAACCAGTACTATTGTTTCTCTTGCCTAGTTTATCATCATCGACAGCATGATATCAGTGTTCGACACCGATGCTTCACTGCTGTAAGACTGTTCAGCTGTAACACCCTTCCGGTGCCTAACTACCATGCCACTCGAAAGAAGCACGGATACTACCAGGTTGCCCAAGTATAGACACGGCACGTCGAGAGGCAGAGGTCGGGTTCGAACCACGGACCTTTCGGTCAGTAAATCCGCGCTCTAACCACTTGGGCCATCTCGCCCTTCTTGCCTAGTTGCTGATTAGTTGGTTTTGAACTGAGACCAGACAAGAATGGGAAGTTAAAAACATTTTTGGTTTTGGTTTTCCAATCAATACTAGGCGAAAGCGAGTAAGTAGATGATGATGGATAGCCAACACAAACTTCCCCGTGTCAATAGGATCATTTGGGGATGCTACCTGTGTAACGGTGGATACTACTGATGGGGCATGCGAGTAGCGTGTTTTCTCGTAAATCCGCTTCGCGTCTCTTGAAAAATGATATTCATTAAGGAGCTTGTGGAGTCGCGTTTGCTTAGATTTGAGCAAGAGTCAGTTGATATCCAGGAAAGTTCAGGGATACGCGTTCAACGAGAAGATCGGTGTTCAGTTTTGTAAGCAAGATGCATAAGAGCGTTTTGCATTGGAGGATTTCCCAAGTACTTTTATTGTTGGCCAAAAGCTTCGTTTTGACCACTTCTTTCAGATTTGGATTCTAAAGAATCTGGGCAAAAATGTTACCAGTTTACTGTCACTGTTCTTCCACATGACATTTGTGTACGTAGATACCTTCTAACGCTAAGATAAGTGCACTGGGTGCTGGGATTCAGCGCTTCCATCTTGCCTGTGTAACTCAAAGCAATCCCGTGCGTCTGCGTCAGAATGACCTTCCTCCGAAAAGTTTCAAAATGCCTCCATAAGTAGTTTCTGTATTTGAAGAGTCCTGAGGTCGACTGTCTGTGGAATGGATGAACTGGAGATCGAAAACATCTGATGTTTCATCACAATGGGATGAGTTTTTATCTGTGTGGTGTACCATAATTTTGGTTCAAAAAGTGAGATTCGACAACTTCCGAATGCTGGAAGCTTCTGCAGGGTTCCGGAGGTTATTGAATAACACATCTGAGAGAGATAACCACATTCCTGATCAGCTACTGGTGACCAAACGGTTGTGTTCCACCACTGACCGGAAGGTTGGAGCTCTCTGGGTTTCGTGAGTCAGTTAACGCCTGGGATTCCTAACAAGGATGAAACAGATGTATAGTGCTTGTCGGCTTTTTTTTAGCATAAATTAGCTTCACTAACTGGACGAAATTTACGTTGAAAGTTCTCAGATCTTTTCCCATCATCATCACATCTGTGGTTGTTGATTTTTCTGCTACACCCAAGACGGCGCAGCGGTTACAGCGCTAATTTATCAACCGGAAGTTCCATGGTTCGAATCCGACCTGTGCCTGTCGACTTCCCCTGTCTAGGCTTGTTCAACCAGGAGGTATCCCAGCTCTCGTGCTTCCCTCGGGTGGCATGGCAGTTTGGCACCGGAAGGGTGCTATAGCTGAACGTTTTTTATTGCACCTGACTATAAGCTGTTCGCTCAGGAAGCACAAGCGAATATTCACGAAATATTACATTTTCTATGAACGACGTCTTGACTTAGGGTGTTTCACCGTGAAGGAAACTACTCACGAGGTTGCTGAAAACCCCTCGACAGCCCACGACCGGTTTCGCCCTTCCACTTCGGGCTCATCAGGTGGGCGCAGTCCCCGAGTTTCCGTCAACCTTATGTTCTACTTGAACTCAAATTGTACTTTTTTCGAGAAATACACTCCGCTTCGCGTTTTTTGAAAAGTGAGATTTATTAAGGAGGTTGTGGAGCCGCGTTCGTTTAGATTTGAGCAACAGTCAATTAATGTCCAGGAAAGTTCAGGTAGACGTGTACAAGGAGAATATGGATATTCGGTTTATGTAAACAAGGTGCATATATTTGATTTGCAAATGAGTGCACCTCTCGGAAATCAGGGTGTACTTAATACTTGAAACGCTCCGCTTAGCAAAAGTTTACGGTCCAATGTGTTCAGTTCCGTTGTGACTTCGTTCTCTACTGTCGGGCGTCTTATAGGAAGAAAGCTTTGACAGTCAGTCACATGAGGTTCTGCAGCGTTCCGAAATAGTGCACAAGGCAGGTGAGTTGTCCAGGTTGAGCAAATCTGATGCTCTGATGCAAGTTAACCCTTGTGTCATCCTATGTCATTCAAGAAATCAATAAGTTAGGCGAACTGGGTTGTCACTTATCTATTCGACGACATTCAAAATATAGCACCAATTACTGGGAAGAATCGAGGTGGATGATCACATCTTTTAAGATCGGAACAATTATGGGAAGAGTTTGAGGGTGCTTATTTCTACAAACAGTATAACAATCGATAATTTTTAACGCTACTCCATTTCTTCGCTTCTCCACTGGTTTATCCAATCTCAGTTGAGCGTTGCATTTGAGTGTTACTCCAACCTCGTACATCGATAGTGGGTGGTATAATTCGGCGCATGGATGAGTTTTGATCTGTGTGGTGTACCATAGTTTTGCTTCAAAAAGTAAGATTCTACCTCTTTCGAATTCCGGGAACCTCTCCAGGGTTCCGGAGGTTATTGAATGACACATCTGTGAGGGACAGTCACATTGCTGATCAGACACTGGTGGCGATGATGATGATGATGATGATGATGATGATGATGATGATGATGATGATGATGATGATGATGATGATGATGATGGCATAATTCGTCCTGACACGCTCACATTCTCTCGGTACGGTACTCAGAATCCAATACACTGATTCAGACTTTTGTATTGGGACCGATCTGAAATTTTGGATGAAATTTCAAGTGAAAACTACTAAATCTATTCACAATACCACCACCCTATAAGCGGCTCATCAGAAGAATAATTTCACATGGCGAGCGGAACGTCCACCTGAGTAATCTTCACTTGTTCGATCAGTCAGCACGTGACCACGTGATGTGGTTCACACGATTGAAAGATGAGCGAGTGAGAGCTACTCACGCTGTTCTTCAGCTACTCGAGGGCGAACCTTTAAGTGTTGAACCACTGACCGGAAAGTTTTACGGTTTGTCATCGAGAAATACACGCATTTGCAAATCGATTTCGTTTTCAAGGGAGACTCAGTTGCATCTCTCGTTTATGATGTCCTCCAGATGAATGTGCTGCACACAGGAGGCTTCATATTTCAGTTGGCACGATATTCGAGATATCGCAGTATATTTTCATAAAGGAAACTACTCATAAGTTTACTGAAAACTCTTCTACAGCCAACGACCGGTTTCGCCTTTCTTGAGGCTCATCAGGGAGGCGCTGTCGAAGAGTCTTCAGCAACCTTGTGA